ATTGAGAATTTGTGGTAAAAAGAAGTTTTAATGTTTGTTGTGTGGATCCAGACTATATGAATGAATAGATTTGCTTTATGGGTCAATTCGATTAGAGAAAAAAAGTTGATTTTCTAAAGAATTTTTGTTGAATATGAAAAAAGAAATTGCAATTTGTAGGAAATGATAGTTTAGAAATTAGTTTTTACATTTTTTGTACATTCTCAGACGAAGAGTTTCAATATAATGAAATTGAATGCTATATGGAACTTATATGGGAGATACAATAAATTCGATATTCCCCGTACTTTACAACCTCTTCTTATTCAATGCAATTCGAAAATAAAGGAACAAAAAAGTACCAAAAAATCCCATTTTATGTTTCCAGATTCAAAGTTTCCCTATATTGTACTTTTGGTAAACTAAAAAGTCCCAAAACAGAACTCTCTTGCTGATTCTAATTCACACAGGACTATGCTTGCTAAATTTTGTGATTCTGGGTCCGTCTTTAGATAGAAATCAAAAGGTACCATTTATAGAACCCGTACTTTTTTCTTCATTATTCTCATTATCACTATCCACACCAAGACCTAGTTCTAGTTATTAAAGAAAGTGATCCTCATCTTTAAAATCATGCAAATTTACAACACATTTCCTCTAAAATTTCATCTCTTAACATTAACAAACAATTAAAATAAATGAAAACAACAACAATAACAAACACTTGTTATTTCAACGTAATTGTTAAACCATAAAGAAACACCTTCTTGATGTGGCGTTCCGGCCACAAGCAAACATTTGATACATTTAAAGACACGCGTTTAAAATATCTATTGCTCTTGTTGTTATTATATATTTTCTTGTAATTTTTTACTATTTTTATAGTAGAAACAAATTTGAATGTGAATACGAATGAACGAATGCTTAAGTACACAAGATGAAGACAAATAAACAAATTTACCACCACTTTAACCAACCAGCCAGTCAGCCACTCACTCACTCCATTGTGGTCTCTTATGAATGCATTCATTCAGTCATTCATGAGAATACAAAAATCCAAATAACAACAACAGTAATAATGAAAAAAACGAATGTAAAGGAAAACTCATTCACGTAAATTAAGATACAAGTCACTTTTTTTTAGAAAAACTTTATTTACATGTATGAAATGATGGGACCAACTACAGTGTTGGATAACCAATGGGGATTTTCGTGAACTGAAACTATATCTATTTTCGTGAACTGAAACTATATCAAGAAATGAACTAGAACTTAACTAGAATTGAACTAGAACTGAATTAGAACTGAACTAGAACTGAACTAGAACTAAACTAGAACTGAACTAGAACTGAACTAGAACTGAACTAGAACTGAACTAGAACTGAACTAGAACTAAAGAACTGAACTAGAACATGAACTAGAACAGAACTAGAACAGAACTAGAACAGAACTAGAACAGAACTAGAACAGAACTAGAACAGAACTAGAACAGAACTAGAACAGAACTAGAACAGAACTAGAACAGAACTAGAGCAGAACTAGAACAGAACTAGAACAGAACTAGAACAGAACTAGAACAGAACTAGAACAGAACTAGAACAGAACTAGAACAGAACTAGAACAGAACTAGAACAGAACTAGAACAGAACTAGAACAGAAACTAGAACAGAACTAGAACAGAACTAGAACAGAACTAGAACAGAACTAGAACAGAACTAGAAAAACAGAACTAGAACAGAACTAGAACAGAACTAGAACAGAACTAGAACAGAACTAGAACAGAACTAGAACAGAACTAGAACAGAACTAGAACAGAACTAGAACAGAACTAGAACAGAACTAGAACAGAACTAGAACGAACTAGAAACTAGAACAGAACTAGAACAGACTAGACAGAAACTAGAACAGAACTAGAACAGAACTGAACAGAACTAGAACAGAACTAGAACAGAACTAGAACAGAACTAGACAGAACTAGAACAGAACTAGAACAGAACTAGAACAGAACTAGAACAGAACTAGAACAGAACTAGAACAGAACTAGAACAGAACTAGAACAGAACTAGAACTAGAACAAACTAGAACTGAACAGAACTAGAACATGAACTAGAACTGAACTAGAACTTGAACTAGAACTGAACTAGAACTGAACTAGAACTGAACTAGAACTGAACTAGAACTGAACTAGAACTGAACTAGAACTGAACTAGAACTGAACTAGAACTGAACTAGAACTGACTGAACTAGAACTGAACTAGAACTGAACTAGAACTGAACTAGAACTGAACTAGAACTGAACTAGAACTGAACTAGAACTGAACTAGAACTGAACTAGAACTGAACTAGAACTGAACTAGAACTGAACTAGAACTGAACTAGAACTGAACTAGAACTGAACTAGAACTGAACTAGAACTGAACTAGAACTGAACTAGAACTGAACTAGAACTGAACTAGAACTGAACTAGAACTGAACTAGAACTGAACTAGAACTGAACTAGAACTGAACTAGAACTGAACTAGAACTGAACTAGAACTGAACTAGAACTGAACTAGAACTGAACTAGAATGAACTAGAACTGAACTAGAACTGAACTAGAACTGAACTAGAACTGAACTAGAACTGAACTAGAACTGAACTAGAACTGAACTAGAACTGAACTAGAACTGAACTAGAACTGAACTAGAACTGAACTAGAACTGAACTAGAACTGAACTAGAACTGAACTAGAACTGAACTAGAACTGAACTAGAACTGAACTAGAACTGAACTAGAACTGAACTAGAACTGAACTAGAACTGAACTAGAACTGAACTAGAACTGAACTAGAACTGAACTAGAACTGAACTAGAACTGAACTAGAACTGAACTAGAACTGAACTAGAACTGAACTAGAACTGAACTAGAACTGAACTAGAACTGAACTAGAACTGAACTAGAACTGAACTAGAACTGAACTAGAACTGAACTAGAAATGAACTAGAACTGAACTAGAACTGAACTAGAACTGAACTAGAACTGAATTAGAACTGAACTAGAACTGAACTAGAACTGAACTAGAACTGAACTGAACTGAACTAGAACATAACTAGAACTGAACGAGAACAGAATTAGAACTAAACTAGAACTGAACTATATTGAACTAGAGTACAACTAGAACTGGCCCTGTACTCTAAATATAGCTGGTAAAACCCCTCTTTTTACACACCCACCTTGCAGATAGTTGGTCACATTTATCATTCATTACTTTGCATGTAGTAAACGTACTTGCATGATATACGATACACCACCCAACACAATTACGAAGAATATGTGTGGTACTAACAAGTATATGCCACTAGAGCAGCTACAACTTAATTCATTTTGGTTTTATTTAAAGTTTTTCTTCTTTTTTATAGTTTATTTTACTTCAACTTTTTCGCTCTCTTCTTTTTTTTAGGTCTGAAAATTGTTAAGTAAGAGATTTTGGGTGGTAATCGGGAATTGTGCAATTGTATGTGCAATAAAGTGCAGCCAAATGTTTGCTGCACATTTACACTTTGTTTTCAGACTATGAATATGTGTTTTTATTTCATTTACTATCTGTTTCTCTTTTTTCCTTTTTCAATTAAAATCTTTAGTCTAACTAAATACACATGATGGTTTTTTTAGAGTGGCGCTGTGTGTTTTTTGTTGGTGTGACCCATATTTAAGATTATGCCAGCAGTAGTACTACTACTTCCACCATGAATACTACACTCCCCAATAGGTACTCCCTTTTCAAAACCCCCACTTACGTTTTTATTATTCACGTACCGATTTAAATCATGTTGGTTTGAGCGCGTACATTGTTGGGGAGCAATTAATAATAGAAGATGTGTAGTATTTTGTAGTTTAAAGTTGTATATTCTGTTTAAAGACAAATTTATCTATGATAAATGTACTGAAAAATATGTTATTTTTTTATTATCGCAGAATCATAAATGTTTTTTGTTTTTATTCGTTTGATAGATACTCAGCAGGTTGTAATATTTCTATTGCTTTTGTTTATTTTCTAAATAAAAGATGAAAGTTTTAAGAATTTATTTGTTTTTTTTTTCTCTTGTTCATTCATTGTGTTTAAATTTTTATTGGCAGTCAATAAACCTTAGAAAGTGGCAAAATAAAAAAGAAATGAAAAACAACTTTGAGAAATAGTTGTAAGTACATAAATACATATCTTTAAGAATTTTAAGTTGTTTCTTATTTCATAATATAACTTTGAGTACTATTGGGTTGGCAAGAAAGTAATTTCGAAGAAAAGTGAAATTTAGAAAAAATATATTTCAATAAGATTTCATCAGATTTTATATTCATGATAATATTTTTCGAAATGCTTAAACTAACTAACTAACTAACTAACTAATAACTAACTAACTAACTAACTAACTAACTAACTAACTAACTAACTAACTAACTAACTAACTAACTAACTAACTAACTAACTAACTAACTAACTAAACTAACTAACTAACTAACTAACTAACGAACTAGCTAACTAACTAACTAACTAACTAACTAACTAACTAACTAAACAAAC